TTGTTGTTATTAGTTTTTTTGCTTATCCCTAGTACACGCGGTACAGGCCATGATAATCATGGTGGGTAGAAGTAGGCGACTGCTTTTACTGTAAGTGCACCACATGTCTACACATGTTAAAAGCAATTCAACTTTGCACTTACAAAATTTCCAGAGCCCCATTTGGTTACTTGCACTCGTTGGTGGGGTTGGACTTTTGCAAGAAACAGGGGCCATTGAGCTTTTTTTTTTTAATCAGAAAAAAGTGCCCAATGCAGGAATCGAACCCGGGTTGTAGTGGTCGAAAACCAACGGCCTTAAGGCAGCATGTGGCCTTTTATTGCCCAAGTTGTGGCCTTTTCATAAATTCAAAATTATAATTTTTGTTTCGCAGTTTTCAATTACTTTCATTATTTTATTGAAAATATCTAATACGAATGTCATATATTATATAATATATAATATATATATATTATTTTTGATCCAATATATGCCTTTTTAATTAAATATATATATATATATGGATGCGGCCTTCTCAAAAAATGGTAAAATGAAAATTGGCCTTCTAATATAAAAAGGTTCGCCACCCCTGGTTTAGACCATCCTTCCACCAATCCCCTGTTGTTATTAGTGAAATACAATAATCATACACAAAACCTTCATTAAGACACCAGTCAGATTCTCATTGCCGGCTTACAATGATATCCTCACGATGATCAATCATATTTTCAACAGATCACAATATTTGGCATTATTCCATCTGGGTCCTTAGATAAACATGTGTTCAAGTTGCTAAGAGTGTAAAATATGTAAAAAATTTCCACACAAAGTTAAAAAAAAAATTCTTTATTATTATCCAAAAATAAGAAAACCAAATATTAAAATGGCACAATGCATATATGGAATACAAAATTGCTTGGAATTGTGTTGAGATATAAAAAATATAAACATTTGAACATTAAATATATATTTTGAATATAAATCAAACATACATTTTATATATATATATATATATACAGTAGAATTACCTCCCTGTAAAGGACAACACCTAATTGCAGAGCCAAAGTGTTCTTTAGGGAGAGATGTCCTCTTACCGGAGAGTTGGTAAATAGTAAAAATGGTGATTTTGCAAATGAAAAATTTCCTTTATAGAGAGGGGTCCTCTGGCATGAGTGTCCTATCATGGAGGTTGTTCTACTGTATTGGAAAAATATATATATATAATACTTTATGTATACACACAAGTATATATTTGAAAATAGAGCAATCCATAAATAAATCTTTAATTAAAAAGGCATATATTGGATCATATATTGGCATATATAAATGATATTTTGATCCAATATATGCCTTTTTAATTAAACAAGTATATATCTATATATGTTTTAAATAAAGATAGAAAGTTGAGGTTATAAAGATGGTTCAGTTAAACATTAAGCAGCATTGGCTGAAACAGGCCGTTGTTTGCCAGGTTGGTAGCCCACTGGATCATCCTGTAACTGGCGCAGCTATATACAGCTATATACCTTTGTAGGATTGTTGCGTGATGTGTTGGTGTGGCTTGTGGAAAGGCTGCTGATAAAATTAAAATTGATTTATTTAAAGCAAGAAATTATAAAGAGAAAAGAAGCAACGGTTGAAGTAACGGCCGTTGGAGCAAGCCTAGATGTTTACCGCTGAGTGGCCAGAGTCTCTGATGACGTTCCGCGCGCATGCGTAGTCAGGTTGACGCTCGCGGTTGCCGATGCCGTCCACTGCCCGTGTGTGTAGTGGAGCTTTGTCAAAGTGTAGTCGCCACACCTTGTTATAACATACATCCTCATTCTAAGGTCTCCATTTGTTTTAACAATGGTTATAACATGTCAATAGCAATAAATGTAAATCTCCAAGATAATTATTTAAACAAAGGCTACAAGTGTTTCTGGAGTTTCTTTATATATAAATGTAAGTCTATACAGTAGAACTACCTCCCTGTAAAGGACAACACCTAATTACAGAGCCAAAGTGTCCTCTAGAGAGAGGTGTCCTCTTACTGGAGAGTTGCTAAATAGTAAAAATGGTGATTTTACAAATGAAAACTGTCCTTTGTAGAGAGGTGTCCTCTAGTGCGGGTGTCCTCTCATGGAGGTTGTTCTACTGTATATATAAAAAGTTTATTTAGTATCGAACAACGTTTCATTAAAACACAATGTAATAAGACCAAATCCAAATAAATAAATAGTGTGTGACGTTTCTGTAACAGCGTTGTTACCATCTTCAGAAAAAAGTACTGAATCTAGTACTAAAAAGTTCTAAATTAACGCTGTTACTGAAACGTCACACACTATTTATTTATTTAGATTTGGTCTTATTACCTTGTGTTTGTAATCTATGATTCAAATTGTGCCTTAATGTAGGAAGACGGAAAGTTCCGAGGGCTTGAGAATGCGATGATAAAATGGTGTTAACTCATGAAACATTTGTTTAATTAACACTTCAATATAACTACAGTCCTTAGTATAATGTTGTTTTAATGAGTTTTGACTTCTTTGTTGCCACACATATACACACACACACAATTATTATCGAATCTTTATAAAACTCTAACAAATATATAAACAATATAATATAATGCGGCTTGTGATTGTAAAACGACATTTGAAATACTATCCCGCATGTGTTTCTTTTCAACGAAAAATCAAAATTTATTTCAAGGAAAAATAACGATTATTTCTAACCTTTTGGATGAGGTATGAAAGGGTGAATTGTGAAGAGTAATGATAAACAGAAAAATAAAATGAAAACAATTATTGTCAAATCTTTATAAAACTCGGACAAATATATTTAACAAGGTTGGTAAGGCACAGTTTTGTGTAATGTTGTTTTAATGAGTTTTGACTTTTACTCCATTTTTACCACACACAGACACAAACACACAATCAACAACAATTGTTATTAAAATTTTATAAAACTCCAACAAATTTATTTAACAAGGTTGGTAAACATTTATGTAATGTAGATTATAATAACAATATAAAAATGGCAACAGTTACAGACTACATATTGTCAAAGATTAGGTAAACCATTCTCTATAAACCTTGATTTAAAAAATAAATGTTCTTCTCTGATTTATAATATTATAATTCGTGTAATCTTTACACAAGGGGATAAGAAACAACAACAACAACATAATATTATAAAATAAATAAAGCTTCCAGGGTTAAATTTCTTGTTGAAGGACTGACAGGTCTGAAAGCTTGAAAATAAAAAGTTTGAACAAGGAGCCCTGGAAGCTTTATTTTTATAATATTATTTTCAATAAACATCAATTTTACCATTCTCACAGCAGACTAGAGTATGAATAACTTGATTAGAAATATCTCCAGAGTATGGGGTGAACACACGACAATGCCAGATTTACATAGCAAACATTTGCATATCCAACATTTGCATAGCCAACATTTGCATATACAACATTTGCATATCCAACATTTGCATAGCAAAAATTTGCATAGCCAACATTTGCATAACCTATTGCTACTGGAGGCACGGACAATATATCCCGGATCAGGGTCCAGGTATCAAAGGAGTAAAAAGTAAAAAATCATAATTAACAACAGTTTAACAAGAATATTTGCTGCGTCTCATTTAATTTTCTATTTTACTCATTTGTTAAAACTTGCAATCCATTCATCAAGAGATAGATGTAAAAAAATTGATAAACAAAATTATTTTGAAAATAGTACAAAAATAAAGTTGTACTGGTGTCAGGGGAATAAACTCAAGGTAATAAAATCCAATTAAATAGTGACGTATGGTCCTTGTGATAGATGTAATATATCTACAGTAGAACTACCTCCATGAGAGGACACCTCTCTACAAAGGACAGCTTTCATTGTCAAAATTACCATTTTTACTATTTAGCAACTCTCCGGTAAGAGAACACCTGTTCATAAAGGACACTTTTGCTCTGCAACTAAGTGTCCTTTACAGGGAGGTTTTACTGTATATAATTGATTCAGTACTTTTGTCTGATAATGGCAACAATAAATCTGTTAACATCACACACTATTTATTTGGTGTCTTTTGTGTAAATTTCTATACAATAACATCAACAAATTAATTAAAAATATATTTTAAACAATATTGCACAGGTAGCAGATTCTGTAACAAATCACTACATTAGGATAAGTAATGATAAAACACAATTTGTGGATTATAAACACAAAGTAATAAAACCAAATCCAAAATTTACATTGAGTACTTTTATCTGATGATGGTAACAATGCTGTTACGTCACACACTATTTATTTGGTCTTAATACTTTGGAGAAGTAATGTTTATAATTAAATAAGGAATAAATTAATAGAAATTTTCTATAACTATGGCTGAAATTAGAGAAACCCATTCCAAAGGAATATCCTTCAGAAAGGATTCTCTTGGACTAAATCTCCACATCACGTGGATAGAGGCCACATTTCCACTACAGTAGAACTACCTCCCTGTAAAGGACAACACCTAATTGCAGAGCCAAAGTATCCTTTAAGGAGAGTGTCCTCTTACCGGAGAGTTGCTACAGTAGAACTACCTCCCTGTAAAGGACAACACCTAATTGCAGAGCCAAAGTGTCCTTTAAGGAGAGTGTCCTCTTACCGGAGAGTTGCTACAGTAGAACTACCTCCCTGTAAAGGACAACACCTAATTGCAGAGCCAAAGTGTCCTTTAAGGAGAGTGTCCTCTTACCGGAGAGTTGCTACAGTAGAACTACCTCCCTGTAAAGGACAACACCTAATTGCAGAGCCAAAGTGTCCTTTAAGGAGAGGTGTCCTCTTACCAGAGAGTTGATAAATAGTAAAAATGATAATTTTGACAATGGAAACTGTCCTTTACAGAGAGGTGTCCTATAGGGTGAGTGTCCTCTCATGGAGGTTGTTCTACTGTGATTGGAGCAAAGTAGAAATAGATGGGACCAAGTTGATGATGATTTATAGAAACAAATGATAAGGTACAATTTGGGTTAGAGATCAGAAACACAAGACCGAATCGAAATAACTAGTGTATGACGTTTCAGTAACAGCTCTGTTACTGAAATGTCACACACTCTTTATTTGGATTCTAACTACCTTGTATTTATAGAAATGTCAACAAGCAGCTAATACATTTTTGCAGTGGATAAAAAGACATGGTGAACAATGAGTTTTTGTAAAATTGTGTGAATCTCAGAATGTCACACACAAGTGTTGTCACCAAGTCTCCCTACGTCACAGATTCGCTGCTGTTAGTGTCCTTCAAGTCAACTTTTGGACAAAAGTGTGTTTCAGATGTATTTTTACTTCTGATTTTTCTTAAAATCCATGATAACCTCGAATTCCTCGCTGAAATTAGCGCTGTCTTGTCTCTCCGGCTGATCCATGGGTGATTCAGTGTTCCAAAGAGAATTGAACAGACTGGGAGATTCCAGAGTCTCAGGATCAAAAGAGGATGGATCAAAACTTGGTGACATTTGGGAAAGGAATAAAAGGTCGTTCTGGTCATCACATCCGTTGGCCATTGGTAAATGGCTGGAGTCATACACATTGGGATCCTGGGCACTGCAGGAGTTCTGTTGATCCAGGAAGAACGTGTTAGAAGAGGTCTGAGATGAAAGGCCTGAGTGAGTGCCGGAACTCAGGAAGGACTCGTGAGTGCTACAAGAGGACGATGAGGTCTGGCGAGGCACAGAAATGGCCAGTTTGGCTTCAAACTGAGCTGGGAACTGGGACATTTGAGCAGATGGACCAGGGAGTGGATAGCCCTGTTGGCTTGCAGACTGCTGGGAACCATCCCTCGGTTCCAGAGTATAGTTGGATACAGGAGGGATCTGTTGGGAGAAACCAGGGGTCAAGTTGGTGTGTGGATATGAGGTCCCTGGGTGAGATGGAATGTATGCCCCATGGATGGAGGAGAGACGAGAGACTTTCTGGGAGCTGGAAGTGGATGACCCGTAGGCCTGAACCATGGCATTTGGAGGAGGCAAGTTTGAAGGCTGGTAAGAAGTGTAAGGAAGAGTAGCTGAAGTGTTGGGAGGAGTTGGCACCTGTGAAAACCTTGTTGCTGAGGTAGAAGCAGTGGAAGCTACAGGCCCCAGGGTCTCTGTCAACACATTGGCTGTGATCAATAAACAAACCCTTTATTCAATCCTTTGTGTCAATTTCAAGTTGAAAACATCCAGGGGGAAAAGTTTCTTTTAAAAAAACCTTTTAATTTACAAATATCGCTTTCTAGAGCTACAGATTGGTGAAATAAATGTTTTTTTAAAGAAAGTTATCTCTGGAAGCCTTATGTTTTCAACTTAAAATCCATTCATTATTTTATACAGTCCAACCTTTTTAAACCACCAGCCTAAGAGATCAGATATTAGGAGTGGTGATAATTTCTTCTTCTTCTTTCTTATCTCCACTCAATCATATCAGGGTATCAAGCCCCTCCCAAAATCTTCACAAAGACTTTTCTGGAACTATAAGAAGGCCTCCTGGAATTCGTTTAAAACATTGTTAGATAGTCTTCTCAGCAAAATCCCACCAAATTCCTCTTTGGAAGACAGGTGGAAGAACTGGAAGTCTGCAGTCCTAATTTCTGCCAAACAAAATATCCCCAGAGGAAACAGAAAATTCTACATTCCTGGATATAGAGAGGTACTAGATCTTTTGAAAGATGAAATAGAAGATAGGAACCAAGTTTACCAAGACCTCATTGAGAACAACAACACCCTCCTCATCAGAGATTACAATCACCTTGCTGCAAAAATTAAGCTTAAGGCCGACCAAATCAAACAGAATAAGTGGATCGAACTCTGCTCTTCAATTGACCCAAAAACCAGCGACAGGAAACTATGGAGACTACTACATGCCCTCAATCAGGACACTCCATCTCACAGCAGCTCAAATACCTTCAAGGATAATTCTGCAAATCCCCTCACAGATAAATACAGCATAGCAAATCACTTTGCCCACCATTACAGCTCCACCGCAAAACTTAATTTTAATTTACAGGATAAAATGCTAGGTAGAAAATCTAGGCTCACCAGAAACCTTGCAAAATACAAACCCAGCCACAACATTTTCAGTAAACCTTTTCAAGAGCATGAACTGGACGAGGCTTTAAGTCATCTTGACCCTACAAAAGCCCCTGGTCCAGACAACATCACTGGACCCATGTTGAAAAACCTCAGTTCCCATGCCAAACTAGAACTCTTAAGCATTTTCAATTACAGTTGGAGCTCGTCTACCCTCCCTAAAGAGTGGAAACATGCCACAATTATCCCCATCCACAAACCAGGCAAGCTTGAGAACCACCCAACCAACTACAGACCTATCTCTCTGACCTCTATTCCCTGCAAAATCATGGAACACATGATTCTCAATAGGTTAACTTTTTATCTTAACCTCAACAACCTACTAGACCCTCATCAAATAGCTTTTAAAAAATATCAAAGCACAGAAGATTCAATCTTTTACTTCGTTCAACAAATCCAGGACAGCTTCCATCATAAACCTACAAAATCTACTATAGCAGCCTTCATCGACCTTTCCCAAGCCTTCGACAGAGTCTGGAAGGAAAAGCTAATTCTCAAACTCGACGAACTTGGAATAGAGGGAAGTATGCTGAGTTGGATCAGCAACTTTCTATCCAAACGCACCATACAGGTTAACTTCAACAACATCAATACCACTCGTATTTACCAAGGTCTACTCCAAGGATCAATCCTAAGCCCTATTCTCTTCAATATTTACCTAAATGATGTACACACTTTTATCAAACCACCAGCTAAAATTGCCCAATTATCCATCAACATCAACAAATCTGAAATCGGCCTCTTCACCATCAACAACCACCTTCGCCACTGGACCCCAAATATTTTCTTAAATAATTCAAAACTTCAATATTCAGATTCCCCAAGATATCTTGGTGTCACACTCGACCCTGCACTCACTTTCAAAAAAACATATTGACACCATGATAAGCAAAGCAAAAAATAGGCTCAAAATCCTGAAAAAAATATCAGGCTTAAACTGGGGTGCAAATGCCAATATCTTACGCACAACGTACCTTGCACTTGTAAGACCTATTTTGGAATATGCTACACCAGCCTGGATCAATGCAAGTAAAAAACCTATCCAAAATAGACAGAATCCAAGCAAGCGCAGCTAAAATCATCAGCCGACTTCGAGGATCCTGCCCAAATCGCATTGCTGAACTCGAATCCAACCTTCTTCCCCTGCACCTAAGGAGAAAAATCTGCTTTTCAAAATTTATAACAAAAAAGATTAACTCTCCAAAAGAACATCTTACAGTAAAATTTATTATAAATTGGGTCCCAAACCAAAGATTAAAACACCCCACTCCTCTCAACCTGGCTCACAACTCTAATCTTTTAGACATCCCAATTAATCCCAAACACAGAACTTCCTATCCCCCACACAGAACTCGCAACAAACTCATCTGTTTCCCTCATCTACCAGCCAATCCCCACAAACATGAAACTCAGCCAGAATTACTTAAAGCTCTTGGCCTCCAAATTATTGAGGAAAATAGCTCCCTCTTCGACAAAACAATTTACACTGACGGTAGCCAACTTGAAACTGGACTGTCTGGAAGTGGAATTGCTATCTATAAAGATAAGATCCTGGAAAAAATCTCCCTTTCCCACCCTAGACATCTTTCAGTTTATAAATCAGAACTCTCTGCTATAGATACTGCTCTAAAATATATCAACATCAACTCGCCAAACAAAATAATAATCTACTCCTACTCAAGAGCAGCCATTTATACCCTTCAAAGCTGCTTCTCCAGTCAAGAACCTCTCCTCAAGAGCATTGCTAAGTCTGTAAACCGACTCCCAGCCAACAGCTCAGTCACAGTGCAATGGCTTCCAGCTAACGTTGGAATTCCTGGTAATGAGCTGGCAGACTCTCTGGCAAAGGCTGGAGCTCTTGGCCTACCTGAAGCAAGAGAATCCACCACCCAACTAGACGAAAGAGACCTCCTCCGTACCATCAAAAACCCAATGCCTGCAGGAATGGAAATCTGATGCTGCACATGACTGGTACAGAGCAGGAGGGACAAGCACCGGTTCTGTCCTCCCAAGAGAACAACAGTCTTTGATTTCCAGACTTAAGTCTGGTCATCTAGGGACAATGACTTTCCAGAATGGTTGCAGGGTTTTCCCACTATGTACCAAGTGCAATTCTCAGCCTGCAACCCCAAGACATATTATTGACTGTATTGACTATCCATTGATGAGCTCTACTCTTCCCCGGCAGACACCATCAAAAATCTCAAGCTTTACAAGCTTGATACCTTAGTGTGATTGAGTGGAGATAAGAAAGAAGAAGAAGGGTATCAAGCTTGTAAAGTTTGAGACTTTTGATGGTGACTGCTGGGGAAGAGTAGAGCTCATCAATGGATGAGTCAATACAGTCAATGATGGGGTTGCAGGCTGACACTTAGTACATAGTGGGAAAACCTTGCAACCATTCTGTCATTGTCCGTAGATGACCAGACTTAAGTTGATAATTTCTAGTAACTTGAAGTAAATTAGCTGATTGTCATATTTGGAAAATTAGTTCTACATGGTAATAAGCCCAAATAAATAAATAGTGCATGATGTTACAGCGTTGTTATCATCATCAAAGTACTGAATAAGAAAAAATAGCATAGCATTCTTTCAAATAGCTACTGTTATTAAATGTAAAAAACAATGTCTTTGGGAGAGGCCGCTGCTCATCATAAAACAGCTCGAGGAGCATAAACTCATGGAATTTGTGTAATCTTTACACAAGGGGATAAGAAACAACAACAAAAAATGATGTTACCAAAACATGACAGAGTATTTATTTATTTGATCTTATTACCTTATAGTTCTAATCTATAATCTAAATTGTGGCTTAAATCACCCTGAAAAATAAGTTTTATTAAAGTGAGTGTTGAATTAAAGCTGGCTGAATTAGAGAGGTTATCCGCAGAGATGGCAGTCCCCAGGTGGCAGATAGACCTTCAGATATGAAGAACAGCTACAAAACAAGCAAACTGACGAATAAGCAGTCACTGACCAACAGCAGCATTGTTAGAAGAGGA